CACTTGTTTTTACATATATACAAGAATTGACATTCTTTTTCATTCAAATTGACAATTATTTTTAAATACTGTTTTTTGTTTTTAAATTTTTTATTCTAAATCATAATTTCATTATATGATTTATATTTCCCGAAGAATTTGAAATTGATTCTTCGTCCTTGAAGAATAATCTGTGTTCAATCAAATGGATGGGATTTATTTGAAATAGTTTTGTGTAACGTATATAATTTGATTTCACTTTGTGTGTGGGTGGGATTGAAGAAGGTGAAGGGAGAAGTGTGATTTGTGGCTTTGTGGAAAAGCAACTGGAAAAGATGTGTTTTGAGCTTGACCGTATGACGTCTATGTTTTCTATGTGTGTGTATATATAAAGCTATATATATATATATATATATATATATTCGCAATTCTAATAGGGCACTCAGCAAAATAGTGCGCTTAACTTCCGCGTCGCGACGCTCGCGAACTTCACGGTTTTGTAAACGTAGCTTACGAGCACGCGCAAACTATACAAATCAATATTTTCTACATATTTCACTAGTTTTCCTTAATTTACCCACCGGCTGGCTCCCCTCCTTTTATGATCTCTCACAACTGGAAAAATCTTGTGCAAGAGAGAATCGCAAAGGACCTAAAAAGAACAAATAAAAAGATATATCCCTCGCAGAGATTTTTTTGAAGCAGGTGTTCAACTGCGGAATAAAAATGTAAATCTTGATAATGCTTTCTTAAGAGTACTCGCTTATATTTCTCTGATTCTGTTCCAATTTTTAATAATAATAATAAAACAGTTTTTCTTGATAGATCTGATATTTATAATTTTATTGGATTTTTTTTGCAAAAATATTATTGTAATTTCTTTTGCGAACTAAGTAATTCAGGAATGTATTTTAGAAACAAGATTTTTAAACGAAGTGTATCTTTTAAGATAATTTAGCGCTGTGATAGAGAGAGAGAGCGCTTATTCAAAAGCACTTGATTTTTTTTTCTCTTTCAATTACGAGTGATCCAATTGCTTTTGGTAATAGACGAAACGAAAGCTTTACTTTATGCTCTAGAATGTACTTATCTTGTATATATGTATATACTATTAGTTTCTCACGGAGGCGTGTATATCTCAGATTTCGCGACTTTGACACGAATAATTGCGAAGCAGAAAAAAAAAATTGTCGACTGTGCTTGCGAATTCGTAATAAGTTTTTCCTTTGAGCATTACAATATTTCTTTTTTTAATTTTCTATTTCGTCTGACAGTTTTTCTTCATGCTTTTAAAGGCTTGATTACGAAATTTATTTTCTTTTTTTTCCTTTAAAAAAAAAAAAAAAAATGTGTTTAACTTGCACAGACTTGAGAAATACGATTTAATTGGATGATCAAAGCACATCTTTTGCAAAAATAAAGCTTTTTTTCCTTCCTTCTCCAAGAAGTAATATATTGAGAATTAGTTTTTATTCAAAAAGAATTTGTTTATAAAAAAAAAAAATTGAGATTAAAATAAGAAACTAAAAAAAAAAGTTTTGATTTTTATTGTTTTGGAAATAAATTGTACGAGGTGAATTTTGAAGGATATATTTGAGAAAAGTCATTAGTGGGGTTTTATTTGATAATATAAACTTGCATTGCGAAATAAATCTCGTTATTGCTCAAGCAGGGAAGAAAAGCAGGCGGTCAGTTTTAATTAAAGAACTCGAGGCGTCAGCTGCTCTTAGCCAACAACAGCAGCTTTTGCTTTTTTATTTTTGCTTACTCCTTACATTGCCACCGCTATCGTTTACGTGTATCGCAAACCCTCTAAAAGTAGTACAAAAAAGAACATTTATAATATATATATATAAAGCCCCAACGCTCTGAATAAATGTAATACTTTAGTATATATATACGTAAATGTAAATTATCAAAGTTAACAGTCTATAACGGAAAACTATTTAACCATCTCTGTTCCTTTAGGAAACTATGTATACACGAAACTTCAAAAGATTTCTTAAGCAATCTAATTAAAACATTCCAGAAAGGATTCAGAATTGCAATTTACCTTTCCATAGCCTTAGGAACTATCCCTAAGGAAATTAATATTAAATTCCCAACAAGAAATTTGACCAATCTTGCTTATTAACTTTATTAAAGATTTACCACATTTGTAGTTTAGGATAATTGGGATTTTCATTTTTTTCTTTCGTCCTATTGTAAATTAATTTACATTGGAAAATTATTTTTAGTCGTTTTGAGAAATATTTTATTTTGAAACTTAAAAGGTGTTTTATTTTCAACTTGCGGTTGAGTGGATCTTTTGTTTTTCGCGCGCCATTAGATGAGCTAATTGTCGCTCATACGCGATCCCCTTTTATTTCCTTCTTTTTTTGCTGGGATTTCTTTTTTTTGTCCCTCACCCCAGTGCCAATACTTTGTCACACAACACTCGGCGCATCGTTGTACACACTTAAACCACAAAAGTAGTCCTCTCTTCTTTTCTCTCGTTCATTTTTGCCCGATTTTCTCTCGCCAACATTCACCCGTCTGCTTTCCTCTTTTCTAGACGATAGCAGCAGAAGCGAACGGCTTGTCATTTCATCTCCGTTCTACTGAAACGAGATCGGTTTTTGCAGTTCCACACAGTATACACACCTCTCTCGCTCTCTCTCTCGCTCGCACCCCTTTTTTCCACTTTTATCACCACTTCCACCCTTCCTTCTATTGCTCCTTACTGTGCTCAGTGTCTCCATTTATGCTTGGCGTCGCGAGCGTATTTAGGGAAATGGTTTCGGGGCTTAAAGCCCATCCTCCCCATCTTTAAAAGAAGCAGCGGTAGACGTCTTTAGACAATTTTTAACCGTTTTCTTCGAGAGAGAAAGAGAGAAAGAAATGAGAGATGGAAGAGGCGGGAAATGGTCGACCGAAGTTCAGCATTGCGTGAAAAAGCTCCTAAAAGGGAAAGCACGATTTAGGCGATGAATAATAATGCCCGTGAAAAAAAAACTTTCTATAAACAGCAATTTTAACAAGAGCAAAAAACACTCTGCCTTTCAATTTTTTTATGTCTCGAGAAAAATATTGAAAATACGACAGGCTTTTTTTTATTATCGTAATTGCTTTATAGTTGAGGAAAATTGATCCAAGGTGATAAATTATTTTATCATAGGGTTTCCAATAGTAAATTTTTTGATGAATTTTCTTCGAAGGGAACAATTTTTTTTAATACTAAATTACAATTTTTATTCTATTAACATTTAAATTGTCATTGCGGCTCTTAATTAATTAAAAATTTTTTTTAATGTGACCCAGAAAAGGGATCAAAGAATATCTAGACATCCTGTGATATGATACTTTGTCAAATTGAAAAGAACTTTTGATTATAATTATACTTATTATATTTGGTTGTAATATAGGTCTGAGAAATTATCAATTAGTGACAAATTGAATATGATCCGATTGCGGTTAATTACACGGACAATGAACCTATAGAAAATGTTTTCTCCCCTCTTACGGACAGTATCACATCCGCATCAAATATATATATATATATATATAGAAAGACAAATAAATATATAAAGAGAGAAAAAATAATAACATGCGCGGTATTAGAAGACCAGCGTGAGAACAAGACTCAGATTACGGAATTGAAGCGCAGAAAAGAAGGAACCTTCGACAATTTTAAAAAAGTCTCATGCAGTTTTTTTTATCCTCTCTTTCTCTCTCTTGCTCATCGCAAAAGGAATGTACATGATGGTCTAGATTTCCTTTATTCTCTTCCTTGATCGTGAGGTATAGAAAATTGAATGACCGAAAAGATTTATCGGGTTGATGAATCGTGTCTGATAACGTTGTTATACTCCTTTTTTGTTTCGCATCTTTTCTAACCCCCCCCCCTTCCCTCTCTTTCTGTCTTTCAAATATACAATAATTCAATATGACGATCGTTTAAATACATATATATTAAAAAAAAATACTCGCATGATTCTTGACTTCGATTACTTAAAACCACACGTCTCTCGATCGACACGATCACACGCTGGTTTTTGTTCCACGTGGCCTGTCGGGAAATCAATCACTTATTTGCTTGCTCTCTGCCATTGGATAAGATTTCAGACATTGTTTCTCTGATAAGACCACTTTCAATGAAATCAATCAACGCCCAAAAATTAATTCTCTTTTTTTTTTGCAATTTATAAAATGATTAACGGTTTTATTTGTTTTTGCATTCAAATATTAGTCCGTGGATTTTAATTACATTTATAAAATTTTAATTACATAATTATAATTTTATAATTGTAGTTACATAATTATAATTTTATAATTGTAATTACAAAATTATAATTTTATAATTGTAATTACATAATTATAATTATAATAGTCAAATTATAAATATATATGGTCATTGAATGAAATAATTCTCTTTGAGCTAAAGAGGGTGGAAAATCAGAAAGAGAATGAAAAAGATAAATTATTAAGCTGAGGCAAAAAAAGAGATGGCTGATATGATAAGAGTCAATGGTCATTACTAGTTTTATTTTTCGACGAAAAAAAGCTAATAATTCCTGTATTGTGCGATCCTTGTCGCAGTTATTGTTTCCTTGGAAAAAAAGGGTCTTCGTCGCGTGGTCTCTTTTCGTATATATATATATATATATATATATATATATATATATATATATATCTTTGAACTCCTTTTCAAACCGACCGGACAATGAGAGCCACTCGGGCTTTCCCCGTTCTCCCCTTCCCCATTTTTCTTAACCCATCATTTTTTTGACGGTCGCTATATTGTGGCTTAATTATTGGCTTTATTATGATTTTGTCCTCCGAGCCAAGAGTGGCCCTTGCTCCAGCAGCTTTGGACTTAAGGAGAGTGAGTCTGCTTTGTGTTATCCATCTCTTTTTTTTTTTGTTTTGGTGGGGGGAGTTGTTCCTTTTCACGTTCTTTCTCTTTCTTCTGCCCCCCCCCTCTCCCTTAACCCACCTCTCTTTGCTCTTATTAAATCTATGACAAGAGGGCTTCGGACTCAATGCCACTGCCGCTTCGAGGTTTTATTATTAATTTCGAGAGCACCACAACGACCATTGACAGTCACGAATTTATTCTCGCTGGTGTTACTCGTGACGGTGAACAATTACCAACAATTTCAAAGAGGGTGATAAAAGAAGTGTTCGTTGAAAATATTTATATTCTTTTATAAAATCGAAAAATTGGCATTTTTTTAAGAATCGTTTTCTTTAAATGAAATTTGTTTTTTTTTTTTGTAATGAGAATATGGAATTAAAATGAAAAATCATGGTTAAAATGGAGGGGGGAAATGAAGAGGACATGGCATGTCCCCCGTAATTATAGCAACAATAAAACAATTTTGATAATTATCTCAATTAGTGTATGGGAACACACGGCATTACAGGAGGCACAACGACGATGCGCGTACACACAACGACCGGTCAGAATAATGACAATAATTACCATTTATATGCAAGTGCCCGTCATTACCTGCACACGAGCAGAGCACGCATTCAATTTCGTATCTAATTTGAATAATTCAAACAAATCTCTCTTTCCTGCCCTCCTTCCTCTACACGCTTTATAATTCCAATAAATGTGACGACGACTTCGACGGCGCGCAAAGAATGATTTCTAGCCTCGAAAGACGTTGGATAGGCCTTTATTAAATCTTGATTATTTACAAAGTTCCCAGATTCCAAACATGCGAAAAAAAAAATATTATTTCATTGTCCATGGAGAAAAATTAAAATTTGTTTTTATCTTCTAAGAATAGAAAAATATTTTTATTGATGCAATTATTTTTAATATCCATATTGCGAATTGTTTTTTTTTTTTTTTTTTTTTTCAAAGTCAATTCGTTTGGTCAATAAAAATATGTTGTCTTTTCTAATTATGAAGCTTATTAATTCTTTAGTATAAATCTCTCTGGGTCAGTTACAAACCATCTAACAATAGTTCAAAGTCGATTCTTTGATGTATTGAAACAAATTGTCCTTAACCTGAATCATCGCCACTCTATTTTATTTTCTAATCAAATCACAGCATGATCTGTTTGAAAACCAATCGAAATAGATGAGTGCATGATTAATTTCAACACTGGAAAAATTTACAATTTCAAAATTTTCCTATTTTTAATCTAATTTGAAAAAAAACACTTTTTATTTTTAATTAAAATTTTATTTATTTTTTAGTATTTTCATATTGATAGAATTAATTATTATAGAATATTTTTAAACAGTGAAATGATTTTAATTTTTACCTATTCAATTTTTTTTTTTTTTGAAATGAGACTGCACTTTTTGTCGTGTCATTTTTTTCACACAAAGCCTATTTGTGTTTTATATAAATATAAAAATTATTTTTTGGTAAACAATTAGAATCTCCTTTCATAAAGGAAGTGACTTAATTAGTGGACTTTTAAAACCGGAAATGAGGGTTCCTGACAAAATTACTGGTCATAACTGGATGTCAAAGCGTATCTTTTCTTTTATTAAATGTAATTGACATTACCGTTGATTATGAAAGAATAATTTTATATACCGTTATACAAGGAAAAAAAAATGCATTTTCACTTACTGTAAATAAAATTTTGTTATGGTATTATTTTTGTATTTGGAAATTTATTGAAATAAATTATCGAATTAGAACTAACACAGAAAATTATTAAAATAAGCTGCAACACGCTTATTATTTTAATCCAATTTTGCTTATTTTAATACCAAAATGGATTAAAATAATAAGCGTTGCAGCTTATTTTAATGCCTTTTAATTTTCTATGTATCGAATTAGAACTAAAAAATTCGTATTCAAAGTTCAAAAAATGTTATTAATTCTGAGAATGTTAATTTTTTTTTTTTTTTTTTTTAATCGAATAACTAAGAGGCAAAAATTATCATTGCAGACAATTGACAATATTAATTAGTCAACTGACAACGACAATGTATAGCTAGAAACAAGTTCCTCCAACAAAAATGAAAGAACGTATCAATTTCACTTAAGAACACGCAGTGGTGCTCAATCAAACATGTTGAATTCATCAATTATATAGCTTCAGTGTCAAAGCGTATTCTGCATACCAATCATATATTTCTCTCCTCGCCATCGTAAAGCTATTCGTCAGGATATTTATTAACATAAATTCCTATGTAAATGATTTCTGCATATAATTATTAAAAAAGAGAAGAAACAAAATTAAGGTTAATTCTGGCACCTATAACCGATCGAAAGTTGTCCCTAATTGCCGGTTGTATATACATAGGATTACAGACTCCTGTTTGCCGTGTCTAGAATTAGCAGAAATGTTAAAAAAAAAAAAAAGAAAGTATATACGTTCGTCATTGGATTATTTTGAACAAAATTTATATTTGCTCGGTTGAGCATCGCGGTCTATTACCAATTAATTCGATCGTGCGAAGTATGCAGAGCGCGCGGGCAGTTAGTTATAGCGAGAGACGGGACGAGCCGGGTTAGATATTGTGTCAGTCGAATCGTCCAGCATTAAAAGTAATTACGACGTGATTGACCGAAGCCCGTGTTGACCGGTGGTAGGGGATGGAGTGGGGGTAAAATCATAGCAGTGACGCACGGAGCTCGTTGCTGCCACCCAATTATACAATCAACTGTACGAGAGAGACGAGGATGATGATGATGATTATGATGACGATGATTATCATGAGGACGAGAATGACAAAGACGGAAATGCCGTTAACGGAGAAGAGAATCAGAGAAACGTGCGAGATAAAGATGGAGGGATGTTTTCTATATATATATATTAAAAAAAAGAGTGATAAAGAGAAACGACGAACCGATCCCGATTGTTAAAGTCCATTATATGAAGTGCGATTGACGCAGCTGCTCTTCTCCTAGTAATTCGTGATCTAGAAACAAATGAGCCATTACATAGGACAATCGTAATCACTGTCGATTCTGTCCAATCACAAGGACAAGAAGGAAAAACAAATTTTTTTCCCCTTTTAAAATTATTTTGCCTAAAAATCAGAAATGAGAATTTTTGTAATTAAAATTCTGATTTTCCATATTTCTCTGTTCATACACTGAAAAAAAGGTTTGGTATTAATAACCAAACATTTGATTAGTATTTAAGCAATCAAAAATTCTTTGTTGAATCAACAAAATTTTGGTTGTGTCAAACAAATTTTGATTGAGACAATTAAAATTTTGTTGATTCAACAAAAAAATTATGATTGCTTAAATACCAATCAAACGTTTGGTTGTCAATACCAAACCCTTTTTTCAGTGTATAAATCGCTAATTTAAATCAAAGGTTTGAAATTGCAATTATTAAGTAATAAAAAAAAATTATTCTTTCTCTAAAAGATAAATAATCTGATTTACAATCTTTGCCTCATTATTAAAAGAATATGTTTAGAATAGTCTGAAACCTTATCTTTATATAGCAATTATCGATTATCAGAAATAAGATCATTGATAAATGAATATGTAATTTGTTGGTCCGTGTGAAGAAAATCAATATAGGTTGCGGGAAACGGTAGCTCTATTAGAAAACTACGTATAGCGCACTTCTTTTTCTTATCACGTAATCCTATTTTAAAAAGTGACATTGTAGAATAATTGACAGGCTTCATGCATCCCACATGTCTCGTTTCAGGCGCCACTAGCTTTTAATCCATAAACAGCTTTAACTTAAACACCCGAGCTTTTACTATAAAATATATTTAAAACTCAAATTTCTTATTTTATACACCTTTCGCAGTAGAATAATAATTTATTTTTCAAATCAACTAAAACTATTTTTATATTTCTCATTGATTTCAGTTTGTAAAAAATTTAAAAATACTTTTTCTCTATTTCAGGAGCCAAAAAAGAAAATGAATCCACTGGACTTTGTGCAGACCGGTGAGTTTATTTTTTTATTTATTATAAACGATTTTCTCTTAGATATTCAAAAAAAAAAAAAATAAAAACAAGGTTTTTTTTTAAAAAAAGACGATATATTTTTTGCAAAAAAAAATTTTTTTCCTCTCTAAATTATAATTAGCAGTGTAACTGCGTCCACTGTACCGAGTCAAGACGTGGACAAAAAACATAATGTTTTGACTTCGTTGTTGGGTCGCGTGCGACCTGCGTCACTGAATACCGAGTACCTACTTCATTCGAGTATACAGTATATTCTGAAGTACCTTTTAAGAAACAAAGAACCGTAAAAAAAAGAGAATAAGGGGGTGACTGCGCGCCGCGGTGATTGTACAATCGATACTGCAATTTCCCCGCTCAATACAACTAATTTTGACTCTTGACTTTACTCTCACAATTCACGTTTTCCAAATACAAACACACTTCTAAGGGCAGTTGATTGGAAAAAAAATAAAAAAAAAACACATATTAACTCTATATAATCGATTGGTTTATCCGAATTTTCACTTATCTAATTTTTTATTAGTTCGTGCACTGAATTTTCGTCTATTTAAAATTTTATTAGGCAGAAATTTCTTTCTGTACAATTATTATTGTCTTACTTTCTATTTATCCTGAATTTTGGTTTTCAAAATTTTAACTTGTCCAAATTTTTATCCATCGCATCGTTTTAATTTGTTCGAATTTTTAGGTGCTCGTATTTTCACAGAAAGTTATAAGGTATGAAAATAAGCTGCAACGCTTATTATTTTAATCCAATTTTGCTTATTTTAATACCAAAATGGATTAAAATAAGCGAAATTGGATTAAAATAATAATCGTTGCAGCTTATTTTAATGCCTTTTAATTTTTTGTGTTCATTTGAATTGAATTTTTCTAAATTTTCATTTATTCAATATTTTATTTGGCTTAATTTCCATTGATTTAAATTTTTATATTTGTCCGAAATTTGTAATTGACCGAATTTCTAATATTAATTTGTCCAAATTTCCATCCAACTGGAATTTTTAATTTGTACTGCAGATCTATTTCTAAATTTCCACTTGTCCGAATTTGTTTTAATTTTGAATTCCTGAATTTACATTTCTCTGAAATTTTATTTTCCACATCTTTTGTACCTTCAAATTTACATTTATCAAACTTTTTATTAATCCGAAATGTCATTCATAAGAATTTTCAAAAATTTCCTTTTCCAAAAAGTTCATCTGTTCGAATTTTTAATTTATTACACGGAGAGACCGCCGGTTGGAAAAATTACTAAAAAGATTTACAAGTAGCGGAAATAAGGTTACTTTGTATATGCATACTTAATAAAACCTGTATACTATAGTGAAATTGCACACAAATTGGAATAGAAATTACTATAGTCTACAGTTTTATTAAGTATGCTGCTAGTAGAATTTTCGATTTCCTACAGCAATATTTGACAATGTAACCTTATTTCCGCTACTTGTAAATTTTTTTAGTAATTTTTCTAACCGGCGGTCTCTCCGTGTACAATTGGCTTATTTTTTGAAAAATGGAATTCTATTTTTTGTGCTGATGAAATTTGATGATTGATCCTTTAATTGTCGATGATAAATTGTAACTGTGTTATATATTTGATATAATATACAAAAGTAAGAAACAATGAAAAAGAATAAGAACTCTCGATTGAAACGAATGAGAATAATAAGTAGATGTAATGAATAGTTTTTTTTTTATTCTCTCTGTTGTGCGGTATGCAGCAAAAGTTGGAGTAAATATGCATGGTCAAAGTATTTATAAACACAGGCATGTTCCGAAGAAGGAGACAGAAAGCGGTAATCGGTACGAAGCAGATCCGGGCTAGGTCGTTCAACTAACCAACCAACAACCATCCAACCATCGACATAGCGAGGACCAAAGCACCTTATATTCTTCTCCTAACAGTCGGGATACCCCACAAGAGAGAGAGGAGAACATTGGTACTATGCAGGACACTTGGCAATCGTGCGCGTGTTCACGTGTACACGATGGTCCAGTGTAAATGTGAACGGGTCCACTATAGCAATCGTACAAAGAAATCAGCATGTGTGACATTATGTTCAGAGAACGATGTGCATGGTGATCACTAATACACACAACTTTATATATCTATATGTATATATATGTATTTTCAGCTCGAGTGTTTTATGTATGTGTATTTATATAATACTTGTGTGAAGGGGGGCGTTCACTAATACAATCTTATAAGACCATTTCAGTATTAATAACGTCACCAATACCACGATTTATCGGCTCCATATATACATTTATTTTTAGATGTTGATTTATTCCCTCTTCTGCTGTATTTAAATTCTCTTGGATCCACTTATATAAAATATCTTTTCAAAATGTATTTTTGAATTATGTCGAATAAGATCACAGGTATCAGTGATTATCACCTGTTTCGCTTCTTTTTTTTTTATCATTTAAACAAATTTTTTGTATATTTTATATACATCTGAATCAGTCATATTTTACTGACAATTAGTAGAAATTTACTGATTCAATTAGTAAAATATCAATTACTGATTGAATCAGTAATATAAATATATGGCGGCGGCCACAAAATCTACTGATTTAACCCCCTGATTGTCGACGAGATTTCCACTATTTGGGCCAAAAGTGTGTTGAAAAAAATTTAATGATTTTTTATGAAACTTGGTATCTTAAGGTTTTCCGGGTCGCTGATTACGAACCTAAGGTCGGTTTTTCAAAATTCAAAATGGCGGATCCAATATGGCGGACAACAATTTGAAAATATAATGCAATTCGCTTGAATTGAATCCGATCAATTTTGAAAAATTTTCCGCCATAATGGATCAGCCATGTTGAATTTTAAAAAACTGATATCAGATTCGTAATCAGCGACTCCGAAAACCCCAGAGTAACCATTTTCAAGCGAATTGTATCATATTTTCAAATTGTTGTCCGCCATATTGGATCCGCCATTTTGAATTTTGAAAAACCGGCCAGTTTTAGTTTTACGCATATATGCGTCAGCGACAGGCAACGGGTTAATAGTTAATTTTAAAGGTTATGTTGTATACAAATTACTGATTTACATAAGTTATTTTCTATTGCTTGCATATTTACTAATTATATTAGTAAATTTCAAAAAATAACTGAAACTTCAGTTAAAATGAAAAGTACTGATTGAATTAGTCAAATTTCTACTGATTCAGATTTAGAGAGCGGAGAAAAAAAAATTAGTTACCATAGTTAATATGTTTCATAGCCAATAATAATACCGTTGCTAAGGGAAAAAATCCTTAGCAACTGTTGCTATGGTAATGATTGCTATGGCAATGATTGCTATGGAAACGGTTGCAATGGTAACGATTGTCATGAAAACGGTTGTTATGGTAACTGTTACCAAGGCAACCGTACTAGTTTTTTTTTTAGATAATTTTAGTAAATAGTTAATTGCTTTTAGTTAATTTATTTTTTATTTTTCAGTCTATGCTCAACTAACAATCCGAAGGACAAGGAAGCAAAGCACGGATATGCAGGAGTTCGGGACCAAAAGGGGGCAATGTTATCATTGCTCCAACGTGGGATTCACCGATCGGTGAGTCGATTTTTTATTTCATCCCTTCCCTCGTTATCTATACTGATTATTTTTCTACAAAGAAATAACATTTTTAATCTAGAAAACAAATTTTCAATATTTTCTCCTTTCTATTACAATTGAAAATTTGAAGACAATTTTTATTGTATACAGAAAGTTAAATTTTTAATTTTGTTCAATGTATACTTATAATCCTGCGGAAATCACGGAATTGTGAATTCAATTTCTTGCTGCAAGTATAATTCTTTGGTTTTCATGTCTTGAAGCATTTCTAAAGGAATATCATTTTAAGTGTTGTTCATAGTTTTTTTTTTGTAAACAAGTCCAATTAATTTAGTTCGATTGTTTTTCTTGGATAAATATATTGATTGCTCTGCGCGCTCGTTTCGCAAATGATTAAATAAGGTGTGAGAACTTGAAGACTTTGAAAACAATACTAAGAAAAAAAAAGAAAGAGGAGGGGGGAAAAAAATTAAAAATCCCCTTGAAGCAAAAGGGATAAATCTGAGTTTTTTTCTCGTTATATATACTTGTCGATTGCAAGCGACCTCGTCGCCATTGAAGTAGAAGCCTTGCTGCACTGCTTTATTGGCATCACAAAACGAAGACGAGGTGTTGGCGACCACAGCAGTGGTTATTATAAAACAAAAGTCGACTGTTGATGTCGATAATAAAGAAGAGGTGCTCCTCTTGCCGTTGGCATTCTCGAATATATATATATATAAGAGAAAGAGAGAGGGACAAAAGAAAAGCCGTATCTGGAGGTACCGGGCGAGAAGGATGTGGTTCCACGCACAGCGATCGACTTAATTCGCGCGCTCCTGCGGACTCTTTTTCTTTTACCTCTTATACACACCTTTTCCCTTCTTGGACGAATTGCGCGTTGGCCTCGTCCCGATCTTTCTGCCACCTTCTTTCTTTCTATACTTTTCTTATTTATCTCCTTATTGCCGCTTCCTCTCTCTCTCTCTCATTGTTTATAATTTTCTATCTCTTTCTTAGTCTCCCCCCCCTTTCCTTACCACCAATCATCATTTTCAATTCTTCGTGATGGAAACGGCCTCGCCCCGATATTGGTTAGAAATAATAAAAAAAAAAAAAAACTCGAGAATATTATTTCTGAGATCGATTGTGATGTGAAAAAAAAAGGAAGAGAGTGAGAAGGAGACAGTTGAGATAATTGAGGGAAGCGAGAGGTTGATGAGTGTCACAAAGAATAAAAAAAAAAAAAAGAAAAAGATTGGGAAAAAAAAAGAAGCTGGATTGAGGAATCGTTAGAGACCATCTGATGCGTTATGGGTTGACGTTGAATTTTCATGATTCCGCACATCGATACCCGCGATTTTACACTCTCTGGGATTCCCTGTTCTCCACCTACGGATCGCAAAGATAATCACATCCCGTCGGCGCGGCGTGAAGATCTTTATATACTTTCTTCCGCGTACACACTTTCTTTCCCTTTTGACTGTATATATATATCTTTCGAAACCTTGTAACATGAAGACATAACCGAGACATGAGTATTTCATCTATAAATATCTTTTTATAGAGGTGCTATTTATTTTCGAAAAAAAAATAATATAATGAGACAAGCATAAAAATTTCTCATATACTAAAACAGAAACTAAATAGAAAATGTAAAAAATAGTTTTTAATTTATTCAAAGGAGATAGTTAATTTTCTGCATAATTTGAATTCACAGGACAATTGTGATTTTTTTGCTTTGAAAAAAATTGTCTAATTTACCAAATTAATCTTTTTTTTTCGCATTGTGCGCGCTTGTATATATATTATACAATTTAACTCGAGCGATGACAAGTATAAGGGAATATCACCCTTGTCAGAATCCATGTCGGGGCGATGACTGTTGGTCTGAGTTATTTTTTTCAAGCAAGATTAAGTAGAGAGATAGGCTTGGCACGGAGAAGAAGCGCACTTAATCCAGCAATAAAAACCCCGGCTCACGTATATTATTTTATTTAGTTTCCGAAACTGCCGCGACTTAAACGCATCCATAATTACCAACTAGTACGTGAATCGCTTAACTTATCGTATGGTGACGAGAGACTTTTGGACCTCGCATATATATATACGCGAGCGGTCAAAACATACGTGCGCGTAATTTATTCGAACTTGAATTTTAACTCCCACGCCATCGAAACAGACAAAAAAAACAATTTGGACCAACAATTGTTGTATTGATTTGAATTTTTATTATTCAGCTTTATTTTACTATTAGGATGTTAATTACAATTTTTTTTTTTTTTTTTAATAATAAACATACGAATCGTGAAATATTTTTCAATTATATATATATTGAAAGTTGATATTATTCGCATTTGAAAAATTGTAGATTGAATTTAAGTTCCAATTTGTATATGTTGAATATGAGAAATTCTTTTTGGGTATAATGATTTCCTGGAGATGAATAAACTATTTTTTGAATGGGTATACGCGAAATGGAGAAATGGATCGAAGGGAAGGGGGTGAATATATTTTGATACGTCAAATTAATGTACACGGTAGATGAAAGAGGGAACTGAATGAATGCAACCAAGCTAGACGTAAATATTTCCAATATCCATTTCTCGCAGAAATAACTATGATACATTTTCGAGCTCTCTCTATCTCTCTTGATAATATCAGCCCCTCCACAAAGTATACAAATGATGCACCTTGAAGAATAACACCTTCAATACTCTTTTCTTTTTTTTTTCTTATTCGCTCCTCGTTATTATACATTATGTCAATCGGTGGCACAAACCGATTTTCAGGACACCACTAGTCACAAAATCCTCATTTTTGCGTTAACGACCGATTCTTTGAAAAGAAGGTAAAAAAAGGGAAATATAGACCTCGGGTATGCAGAGCCTTGTATATAGTGTAATAATAACCTTGGTGCTCTGCATGAAGGGAGATAATTGGAGGTGGAGCCGCGAATGGCGGAAAGGGATCTTTTCGCGATAAAATTCGAAAAGAAAAAGGCAAATTCCACAATGTTGGAAAGTATCTGGGAATGGTGTATACTCTCTTGAGAGAGCAATCGGACATTTTATTTTTATGGTATACTATGAGTAAAAGAGAGGGAAGTGGGTTTAGAAATTCTTGAGAGGGAGATATGAGAAGGATTCTTGATGCGTAGGTTAGAAGCTCTAGACATTATCCACTTACTGAGAATTATTCCTCTTTCGAAAAATTTGCGCCAAATAGCACTACTATTGTCTATATTGCAAATCCAGAAAGGCAACAAAGGAAAGTAGAGAGGAAAAGGTCCAAGAGAGCTCATTTGAGTGTTAATCGTTAGCTGCGGGTCAAATTACTGCCTCTGTACACAAGGAATGCCAATTTCATAATATTTTTTTTCTCATCTTTCCCTTCCTCTTTCCCCTTTTCTTTCTTGTTACTTTCGCGTTGATTCCTGGCTTCTCTTCTCATTTTGCTTGGCTCCTTCAAATCACTTGGCAGGCGTTTCTCTCTCTCTCTCTCTCTCTCTCGTGAAACCCAGCACTTTAGCCTTGGTCAACATAATCATGAGCTTCCATTCTCAATTGCGTTTCAGTTCTTTAAACTCAAACAAACAAAAGGTCGAAATGTATATAGTGTTCTCCAGTGGCAATGGTATGCCTATCCCTCGTCAAATTGCCGGCTCTCAATTCTGACCGTGGCAAATGCGAGCTTCTGTAAATTTTGTAACCCACCTCCCCCCTTCGCGTGTTGTTCTATATATGTTTTAAACGCAAACGATACTTGTTTTGTTATTCTTTTGGACGAGAAACTAAAGCGAAAGAAATTTTAACAGGCAGTAGAGGTTCTTGGGTGAATATCGATGTTCGACGATATATCTTTGCAAGATGACGCGCGCGCTCCTTCGTATAACAGACAATGTTCTACAGGGTATTATTCACACGAGTTATTTATTTATTCAAGCATGCTTGACCAAGCAAGAATGGATGAGATAAGTCTTTTCTTTCTTTCTCTCAAGCAAAACTCCTGTGAGAATATTATGGGATGAACATTGCGAAGTGTCGCTCCCCGCGAACATTCTCATTTTATTGCTTGAAATTGGACTTTCGACGTGTAGGATTTATATTGGCGAAGAAAAATATTCGTCTGAGCAACAGTTGCTTTGAAAAAATTGTTCTAGTAAAATATAATATAACTAACATTGAAATTTTTTTACTAGAATAATGAAAGATTTAAATGAAATGATCAAAATTTTAGCAGCGAATTATTTGTTACCACTGGAAATTTTTGCTATTGGGACAGCGAATTATAAATTTTTACTTTACAGAATTTTTAGATAATTTTTATTTTACAGAATTTCTTCTTTAATTTAATAGAATTCTCATCTAATAGAATTTTAATTGCTTCGAATTTTTAAACACTACAATTTTCAATGCACCGAATTTTAACACAAAAAATTAAAAGGCATTAAAATAAGCTGCAACGCTTATTATTTTAATCCAATTTTGCTTATTTTAATCCATTTTGGTATTAAGGGGATTTTCTGGTTTAGAATTTCAAAAAAATCGATTTTTTTTTTTTTTTGCTTAAAAATGTTCCATAGTATCATAGAATTAATGTCCCAAAACGTTTTTTAAAAAATATGTACAAATACAAAAGTTATAACAATATTTATGACGGTATGTATTTCAACAACAAATCTACAATTATCTTATTTACATATTTGGTGTTCCTCTTTTATTGATATTAGTTTGAAATATGTTACTCGAGGGTTTTTGGGGTCGCTGATTACGAATTTGATGTCAGTTTTTGAAAATACAAAATGGCATCAAATTCGTAATCAGCGACCCCAAAAACCCCCGAGTAGCAAGTTTTAAGCAAATCCGGTTGACTTTTTATTTTTTCGTCCGCCATATTGGATCCGCCATTTTGAATTTTCAAAAACGGACATCAAATTCGTAATCAGCGACCCCAAAAACCCCCGAGTAACAAGTTTTAAGCAAATCCGGTTGAATTTTTATTTTTTTTGTCCGCCA